GCCAGTGCAAGGCCCTGAGTTCAAATCCCAGTACTTACCAAAACTTTTTTAAAAAGTAAGAGTGATAGTTGCAATGGCCTGAGAAGAGGAGGAAATGTAGAGTTACTAACTAATAAGCATAGGGGCTGACGGAATGGCTCAAGGGGTAGAGTGCCTGCCTAGCAAGTGTGAAGCCCTGAGTTCAAATTCCAGTACCACAAAATGAAAAACTCCAGAGATCTTCTGTACAACATTGTACTTAGGGTCAATAGGAAGGTATTGTACATTTGAACTTTTTGTTAAGAGGGTAAATCTTGTAAGTGTTTTATCACAATAAAAATAAAAATAAAATGAGTAATAGTTGGTAATTATCTGGGGGAAAAAACCTAAAGTTAGAACATTTTGGGATAGGATTTTGCTATGTAGTCCAGGCTAGCCTGGAACTCACGATCTTCCTGCCTCAGCCTCTCTAGTGCTGGGATTCCAGGCATGCACCACCACACCTAGCAACTTTTAATTTGTACTCAGAAAATTTACAGTTATTATCATCCATAGTCTTCAGGAAAATTCAAAGCGATCTCACAAAATTCTACAAGAACTGGCAATGTAGCTTAGTGGTGGAGTGATGGAGGCCCTGGATTTCATTCCCAGTACTGTCAAACTGCAAACAGCCAGGATGGCAATGAGCTCCAACCTTTCTGGGGACCTCCATCCCCTGTACTTTGTTGTGGCTGAGTTAAAGTAGACCAAGCAAAGCAGGGTTTGGAATTTCCCTTTGACTACTACCCTACCCTTTGAATTCTACCCTATTGCTGGCCAAAAGGACTTAATAACTTACTAGAGTGTATATGCCTATGGAAGCCTCCATAATAGGTCTTTTTTTTTTTTGGCAGTACTGGGGCTTGAACTCAAGGCCTTCATCTTGAGCCACTCCCCAGCCCTATTTTTGTGAAGGGTTTTTTGAGATAGGGTCTCTAGAACTATTTGCCCGGGCTGGGCTGGCTTGGAACCTCGATCCTGCTGATCTCCGCCTCTTGAGTAGCTAGGATTACCGGTGTGAGCCACAGGTGCCTGGCTCCATAATAGGTTTTAAGCTGCATCTCCAACATACCCCACCTAAACACACACTACATGATCAAAGGAAAAACTGTCCTTGAGGATTCTTAGGAATTTTCCAGAGGGTGATGACTAGAGAGGGCAGCTTCTGCCCAAGACAAGGAAACAAGGTTAACTTTCTGATTCTTTTTGCTTTCTTTCTTTTTAGTTCACTATGGATTGTGATTATTATTGAATTTTGACACCCTATTCCTTTTTTTGTTTTTGAGACAGGATGTCAGTATGGAATTCAGGCTGTTCTCAAACTCACATACTCCTGCCTTGGCCTCCTGAGTGCTGGGATTACAGGTGTGACTACCCTATTACATTCAGATTTGTTACATGTGGTCTTGACCAACGTGCAGTCAAATAAACAAATTAATTAATTTATATATTAATTAATATCTAAAGCAATTTCAAAACCCAAAACTGAAATTCTTGGACATGCGTTGCGCAGCTCAGTTGACGCAGAGCTGAGTCCCGTTTTCCTCAGTTGTGTTGAAATTTCGTATGCTCTGCTGAGTGTTTCCCCGCCCTTCATTTTGTGCGAGTCTGCCTCCCAGAAAGCAAGGGAAACATGAAGGTGCGTAATTTGAGTGCTCACGTGAAAACGAGACTGGGTGAAAGCGGCGCGGCTTCAGCGGAATTTGGCAGCGTAATGGGGAAAATGAGTGAGGCTGCTGCAGTGAGCACTGCACGCTGTGCATTCCGGGCATGCGCAGTTGCTCCCCAGTGGCCAGCTCCTTGGAACCACAGACCTGAAGACGTCAAAGGTCTACTGTACTTTTGGCTCTCTCTGTCACATTAAAAAACAAAACAAACAAAACAAAACAAAACAAAAAAACCCTCTCTTGTGTGTTTTCTCAGACTATAGGTGTTGCTGTGAATTTCATTGGTGTTTGACTGCTCTCTCTCTCCTCTCCCTCTCTCTTCCTCTCCTCTCTCCCCCTAAAAAAATATAGTATCTGTTCTTTTAAAAAACTTCGGAAGGCAGGCACAGTTGTGAGTGACTGTAGTTCCAGCTACTGGGGATGCTGAGGTAGGTGGATACCTTGAACGCAGGAGTTTGAAATCAGCCTGGGCACCATAGTGAAACCCCATCTCAAAACTAAATGACTAAGTAAAACACCTCAGAGGGCAGCACTCTTTCTGAAGGCCCCTTGTTCCCTCTGATACTCACATGTCCCTCAAAGATCATTGAAACAGGTTGGGGGTGTGGCTTTGTGTAGAGCACAAGGCCCTGGGTTCCATCTTCAGCACCACATACACACACACACACAAAGACTAATGCCAAACTTTGGTCTTGTGAAAACTAGACGTTGAAGTAAGACTTTGCTTCTGCGGAAGTCCTTACTAGCAGGCACAAGCCCTGGCCCACCTGGCTGTAACGGTGGGGAGGTCTGTTTTGGAGGGTCTGTTTGGGAATTCAGAGACCTTCCTGCCTGTTCTATTGCTGTTTCTTCACTCACAGCATCTGTACTCCATGAAGATACAAATTAGTAGCTTGCTAGTGAAGCCCTTTAGCACTGCGCCAAGTCCCCAGCCAGGGCTATCCTGGCCCTGAGATCCTTATTGCTACTTCTGTTGGCACCCAGCTCCAACCTGCTGGGCACTAATTTACTCTGCCTGTTCAGGACAATCCTTAGACATATCCAGACATTTGAAACCACCTCCCTTTGCTGTGGGTGTCCACAAAACAATAATACTACTGCCCTTTTCCTTAAAAATATCCAGTAGTCTCTAAAAACAAGGCAAGTTTGGGCCAGTCAGAAGAACTGAGTTGTTTTTTTGGTTTTTTTGGTGGTACTAGAGTTCAAACTCAGGCCTTTGTGCTTGCAAGGAGGGTGCTCTACAGCTTGAACCGTATCTCCTATCCATCATCCCCCCTCCCATCCCGTTATTTTGGACATGAGACTTCCCAAACTGTTTGCCTGTGCTGGCCTCAAACTGCAATCCTCCTGATCTCAGCCTCCCAAATAGCTAGGATTACAGACATGAGCTCCTGGCGCTCATGTTTCTTTGGCAGTACTGAGGTTTGAACTCAGGGCCTCACGCTTGCTGGCCAGGTGATCTTACCACTTGAGCCACTCTGCCAGCCCTTTTTTGTGATGTGTTTTTTCAAGATTGGGTTTCGAGAACTATTGGCCTGGGGCTGGCCTCGAACCTTGATCCTCTTGATTTTAGCCTCCCAAATAGCTAGGATTACAGGCATAAACCACCCACACCCAGCTTCAGAAGTCTTGACAGGGACAACTGACCCTCTCATCATGGGAGCTTCAGTTCCCACGGCAGCAGTCACGATTGGAAAGGTGGTCTACATGTGTCTCTGACCTTTTTAGTACAGATGTCACAAATAACACTTCTACTTTAGAAGCCCAAGAAACCAGTTTAAATTCGAATTCATTACACAGAGTTGCCAAGAACACTTGCATAACTTTTGACTTTCATTGGCCAGGCCAGCTGATGGGAAGTTAATGCTCTACCAGACACTTCTTGGGCTGGGTGTATGGAGCAGCAGTAGAGCACTTGCCTAGGATGCAGAGGCCTGGGTATCATTCCCAACACTGCTGTAATATATGGGGTTTGAACTCAGGGCCTACACCTTGAGCCACTCCACCAGCCCTTTTTTGCAATGGGTATTATCTAGATAGGGTCTTGCAAACTATTTCCCTGGGCAGTCTTCGAACCGCTGTCCTCCTGATCTCTGCCTCCTGAGTAGCTAGGTTTACAGGAAACATTTCTGGCTATTTTGTTTTGTGGTTGCCTTTAAAAAACAAGTGGAGCCAGGCATGGTGGTGCCTCCTATAACTCTAGCATTTGGGAGGCTGGGGCAGAAGGATGGCAAGTTCCAGGCCAGTCTACACTATATAGTGTCTGATACCTTGACTCATAAACATAAAACAAAGCTGAATGCAAGTGGCTCACGCCTGCAATCCTAGCTACTTAGGAGGCTGAGATCAGGAGGATCATCGCTCAAGGTCGGCCCAGGCAAAAGTTTGCAAGTTTTCCATCTCAGTGTAAAAAAGCGGGGTGTGGTGGTACACACCTGTTATCCCAGTAATTCTGGGAAGCATAAAATAGGATCCAAGTCCAGGCTGGCCTGGGCAAAAAGTTAGATTCTATCTCCAAAATAACCAGAGCAAAAAAGACTGGAGGTGTGGCTCAAGTTGTAGAGCACCTGCCTCACAAACATGAAGCCCCAAGTTCAAACTCCCAGTACAGCCAAAAACCAAAGCGCTGAATTCATGGCTCAAGAAGTGTAAGGCCCTGAATTCTAACTCCAGTATTGTAAAAAAAAAAAAAATTAAAACAAATTGACAACATGAGGATGGGAGACTAGCATGGTAAGCCTGTGACAGAACTAGAGACTGACACAAGGTGACTTCTTTAAGGAAGCCGGGTCTCCTGGATTCCTGCTTCCATCCCAGGGCCACAGTGAGGGGATTATTTTTTGCAAATGGGGTGTCTGGCATACAGAAAGGGCTTCCTTTGAGGTCTATTTCCCAGCCTTGGCAATGGGGAGGGGAGAGGAGGGGTCAGGGGTATTGGAGTGTGTAAATGGCATCAGTGATACAATGTGTAGACCTCCCCAGCAATCTTTGTGTTCCCACACTTCTTCCCCAAGCCTGCTCATCTGCCGATGACACGTCTCTTCTCCCCACCCTTATTCATGTGCCTAATTCACTTTTTTTTTTTTTTGCTATGCTAGTATTGGAGTTTGAACTTAGGGCCTCACACTTGCTAGGCAGGCGCTCTACCACTGGAGACACTCTTCATGCATCTTCTCTCTCTCTGCTCATTCACTTGCAAGCTTTTACTGAGTCCACTCGTTGTAGGACTCCAAGTCTTAGGCTTCCATGTAAGAGCTCTGCTCCTTGTCCTGAGGAGAGGGCCGTGGGGGTGACTCAAGCAGTGCATAAACATGAATTTCAAAACTGACTTTAAATACTCATCAGGGTGCCACACAAAGGAGCTGGGGTGAGGGCTTGTTACATGTGTGGGGCTGGGGTGCCCTGAGAGAAAACGGAGACCCATCTGTCAGGGCAGCTGGGGTGCCCCACCCCCACCCTGGGACAAGGGAGCAAGTAGAGGCCCTCTCTAGAAGGTCCCAAGGCTAAGTGGGAGCCAGCCCTCCCTTGGAGGTAGATCATCGGGGAGGGAACCGAGGAGCAGCTCCCATGGTGGCGGTGGTGGCTTCTTTAGTGGTATTGCTGATAGCTGGGATAGCCTGGGGCTGGGCTACCTTCCTTAGGGGCTAGCTGGCTGGGGTCTTCCAGGAACGGGGGCGCTGGAGAGAAGAGAAAGAGGCAATGAATGAGGTAGGAACAGTAAAGGAGGCTGGCAGAGCAAGTCTTACCCCTCCCTGACCATCGTTGCCCAGGTCCTCACCGTTGCGGAACTGCTGGGCTGTATACCGAGTGAGGAGGATGCCGACACCCTCTATGAGGGCCAATAGGATGCCCCCCATCATCGCTGAGCCCACCATGGCCAGTGGGCCACCTGGAGGTGGAGAGACAGAAGTGAGGGCAGGGAGAACGGGGAGTGGGGCGAGGGAAGGCTAGGACCAGGGGTTGGGGGCACTCACTGCGGGCAGCCAGCACAGCCCCAGTCAATGCTCCACTGGTGATGGAGTTCCAGGGATCTTCCTTGCCCCGCAGTCGCACCAGGCCACAGTCGATAGTAGAGAAAAGGCCTCCCCACACTGCGAAGCTACCTGTAGGGGGTTAGAGGTCTAATTAACATTCTACAGAAATCTCAAGAAGCCACTTTCTCAAGGCTTGAAGACTCTGGCGCAGAATAGCAAGAAAGGGGCTGGGGAAGTATCTCAGTGGTAGAGTGCATGGTAAGCATACACCAAGACACAGAGACAGATAGCAAACTCCCAAGGAATATTCTGTCTGTCCCATCATGTGTAGTTCCCACTCCAGTCAATAATTGCCATCAAAATTCCCTTCACCTTCATAGGGAGTTGACAAATGGTTACAAGCAGATTCATCTTTTTTTGTGTGTGTGTGGCAGTACTGGGATTTGAACTCAGAGCATTGGCACTTACTAGGCAGGCGCTGTATCACTCGAACCACACCTACAGCCCTAGATTCATCTTTCATATAGCATTTAAAATTCCACAGCTGACCTCATGAAACGTGTTGCAATCAAATGCAGGCAAACTAAACATATGGCGTAAAATTAGCTGTGTGCAGTGTTATATACCTATAGTCCCAGCTACTGGGGAGGCTGAGAAGCTAAAGGCAGTTCACTTGAGCCAAGGCCTTTGTGCATGCTAGCCTAGTGTTCTATCACTGAGCTACAACCTCAGTCCCGAAACCTCATCTCCCTTTTTTTGGTGGGACTGGAGTTTGAACTCAGGGCTCTGCATTTGACAAGCAGGAGCTCAACCACTTGAGCCACACCTCCTCCATTTTGCTCTGGTTATTTTGAAGATGGAGGTCTCTCAAACTATTTGCCCAGGTTGGCCTTGAACTGAAATCCTCCTGATCTCAGTCTTCCAAGTAGCTAGGATTATAGCCATGAGCCACCAGTGCCCAGCTGAGACCTCATCTCTTAAAAAAAAAATAAGCTGGGCACTGGTGGCTCACACATGTAATTCTAGCTCCTCAGGAGGCAGAGATCAGGAGGATTGTGGTTCAGAGCCAGTCTGGGCAAATAGTTCTCGAGACCCTATCTCGAAAATAATTAACACATGCTCAAGGCCTTCCATTCAATCCCCCATACTGTGCAAAAAAAAGGAAAAAAATTATATTGGATAAAATTATCTTTGTGATATATGTATAAGGTGTACATGAAACATAAATGAACTTCATGTTTAGACTTGGGTACCATTCCTAAGATATCTTATTACTCAAATATTCTAAAATTGAAAAATTCACCAGTGCTGGTGGTTCACGCCTGTAATCCTAGTTACTGCAGAGATCAGGAGGATCGCGGTTCAAAGGCCGCCTGAACAAATAGTTCAGGAGACCCTATCTCGAAAATACCCAACACAAAACAGGGCTGGCGAGGTGACTCAAGTCATAGAGTGACTGGCTAGCAAGTGTGAGGCCCTGAGTTCAAACCCCAGTACCACCAAAAAAAATTTAAAAATTTTGAAATTGGAAACACTTGTAGTCTCAAGCATTTTGGATAAGAATACTCAGCCTGTAGTTAAAATGTTTATTCCCCACTTACTGTGTACCAGGACCTATTTGAGGTACTCTGTGTTATTTGACTTCTGCAAATTTAAATTAACTAATAATATTGAAGGGCTCAGCATAGCCACCAGCACTTTGTAACTACCATGTAAATTAAGCAAATTACAAAACTACTAGGGTGGTTAATTTACCCTCATCAGATGAGGTTCAGAGAGGGTATGCTACTAGCCCAAGGTCATAACAGGGATGAGTCAGGGCCTAGATTTAAATTCCAGAATCCATATTCTTGCCCCTCCAAATTAAATTGCTGGGGAATGTTACTCCCCTGGGAAGTCCTGGGCAGACTTGGTGCTAAAATCTATACCTGCAACTTGCATTCTGGCCCCAAAGTATCAACCACCCTGAAAGTTGCCATCACATGTCCTGTCCCCCCAAACTCCTCACCTCCAATCTGGGGTGCTCGGATCCTCACAGCATTGGCACTACCTCTCAACCGGTGTCGAATTCCCTGGGGAAAGCAAGGAAAGGGGTCAGGGCAGGGTTGAGGCCACTGGCAGATAGGGTTTCTAGCCTTTAAAAGAGGGAAGGGGGGAGGGTGGACAAAGGTATAGTATATTAGCAGAAAGCTTGCCTAGAATGATGTGAGGCCTTGGGTTCGATTCCTAGCACTGAAAGAAACAAACAGACAAACAAACCAAACCAAACACAGACCTAGAGTTGGAATGAATTTAACTTATCTGTTTGTTCACTCGTTCATTCAATACATGATTAACAAGCACCTTCTACAGGGCAGGCACCATACTATACTTAGTGGTACAGCAGTGTTCTCCCAGAGCTCACACTGTAGTGGGAGAGACAGATCTTAAGCAGAGAAGCAAGACAGCTCCAGACAGCAACACGTACTCTAAAGGAAATAGGACAAGGAGGTATGATGGTGGCTAAGGAGTCAGGAAAGGTCTCATTGAGGAAGAGGCATATGTCCTGTGTTGGGGGCTGGGTTAGTTCAGTAGTAGAGCACATACTTAGCATATATGCTGGAGGTCACCAAAAAAAGAAAAAAAAAGGAGGGGAGAAACATGTGATAAGAAACGTGAGCAAAGACACAGGAAAGAGAATTCTAGGACTTGAGGGGACAGAACTACAAATAAAAATTGCAGAAGCTAGGCATGGTGCACACCTGTAATTCTAGCACTCAGCGGGCTGAGGGAGAAGGATCCAAAGTTCCAGGCTACCCTGAGCAACATAGCAATACCCTGTCTCAAAAAAAGAAAGTGTAGAATCTAATACAATCAAATTACTCAGAAAGTATTTCCTTGACTTACCTCAGGGGACGCACTGGGAAGAGTTACTTTCATTTAAAAAGAAAGGAAAAGTTACTTTCATTTAAAAAGATAAGGAAAAGTTACTTTTATTTAAGAAGTTGAGTGGCCTGTTAAGCTACTTGGTTTCAATTTGTGTTTGGTTTTAATGTTAACATTGTTGAAACTTTGGAAGAGAATGGAAAGAGTTGTTCTTTTGGCAAATAAGGAAAGCCTGGTTTGATTATGAAGCTGCTTAACCACCTTCAAGTGTTCAGTGTTTTTGGTCACTGTGTACATTAAAATTTTGGGAAATGCTTTAGTATGTAAAGTACACATGTTCATTGTTAGTGGTTTTTATTTATTTATTTTTTTTGGCAGTACTGGGATTTGAACTCAGGGACTCAGGCTTGCTAGGCTGCCACTCCACCAGCATAAAGCTAAGTATTTTAGAGGGAAAAAATAAATTACAGAGATTTTGGCAAAAGAATGGCATTTAAAGCCATGGCATTTGATGAAATCTTCTGGCAGGGAGAGTGGTCAGAGAGAGAAGCAGACTTGACTTTTTTTCAATTGTCAATTAAACTCCTGTCATTTCCCAATATCCAGGTTTCTAACTCAGACTCTTGTCTCTAGGTAAAATCTGACTTTGCACACACATTTAAGATTTGGTGAAGACTATTTTTTTCCTGGTGCTGGGGATGGAACCCAGGACCTCACACATGCTTATCAAGTGCTCTACCACTGAGCTTCCCCCCATTCCATGACTGTTATGACAGCACAGCATTTTCGCAGAGGAGCTCTGGTTGGACAGGTAGAGAACAGAGTTCCCAAACCCCCCAGGTCCAGGAGGGAAGCCTGGCACACAGGATAAGTAAGTGTGTTGACAGGCAGCTCCAAGCAGTTTTCAGGGCAGTATTCTGTAGCCAAGGCTGATTCTCACACCACTGGAGGAAGGCCCAGACTCACAACAGGGGCATTGCGGAAGCCTTTGATAGCCTGGAAGACTCCTCCGCCGATGACACCCATAGTGAAAGCTCCACCACAATCATCCACAATTCGCCATGGACTGAAAGCAGGAAGGGAAGGATGGGGTTAATGTGAGTCTCCTCCGTGACAGGCCCTGTCACCTGGACTCTTTCCAACTGGGAGAAACCAAGTCACCCCAATGGGAAGTTCATGCTTCAAATAGTAACAAGCCAATCCTACCAGATGTTTCCCCACCTCTTAAAGCACAAAATGAAAAACCCGGTGCGGTGGTGCATACCTGTAATCCCACGGGAGGATTACCAGGTTCGAGGCCAGCCTGAGCAATATGGTGAGACACCCCCCCCATCTCAATAAGCGACAAATAGGGCAAAGGGGGGGGATACTCGATTCCCACCAAAGAATCAGCCAACTGTTTTGCTACTACCAAAGCTCAGATGAACTGATCTACACAAAGAGTTGACACCTTCAATAAGGCCTATAGTAGGCTAGTATTGTCACTAAAGTACAGGGTGTGGCACTCCTTTCTGTGACAATGAGCACGTCGAACCAAGTCTGCCCCTTTGTCACTTTTAAGCCTAAATCAGAGAAAAGCCAAGAAGACCAGGAGGAGAATCCAACGTCCTCTCCTTGTCCACAATATGCTCATCCATGCCCCCTCCCAATTCACTAAAGCGACCTGGGAAAAACCGCGTGAGGTGACCCTGGGGATTTCCGCTCAACACCGCCCCCACCCCTCCGCTGGACTGGATTTCATCAGCGTGTTTCCATTCGTTAACAAAGAGCGAATAGGAGACACAAAGTCGGGAAATGTGTGGTGGTTTGTCCTACACTGCACCGTCTCGGGCACACGACTGTAGCAGCTCTTAACGAAGCCAGAGCGAGGAGCCAGGTGAGGGAGTTAAGTTTCTAAGTCTCCCGAGGCCGGGATATGGCATTGGGTGGCAGGTGCTTCCTCCCCCGCCCGCCTCCCATGGCTGGCCTGGGCACCACCACAACATTCCCTATGCCTGTGCCCATCGTCGTACCAAGGCTCCCGAGCGTACTCCTCCATGACGCCGGCTTCTAGCTGCACAGTCGGGACACTCTCGCGGGCCACGCCCCCAGTGTAAACGCACACAGGCGCGCGAGCGTCCCACTATTCTAGGAAAACAATTGGGTAGCTTCTCCATACGTAAGGCCACAGACACAATCTTATTGGCTGTCTGTACATACGTAGTCGGTTCGCCTGGGCCCTTGGCGTCGCCGGGTTACGGCTGGGGAGAGCAGGCCTCATTTTGTGCTTTGGGAAAAGAAGCTTGTTTGGTATTGCTGAACCTAAGTAGTGACGACGAGAGAGGCGGCGGTCTGAAAGCTTTGCACTATCCGCACCCATTGTACCGGTAACAACGGGGTGGGCTCATTTTGTTTTTTAGCGCTAGACAAGGTGCTGCATTGTCTTCCCCATTCCAGCATCTTGGTTCCTCCCATCGCGCAGTGCTGGAGGGACGTTGGGTGAGCCCATTTCTGGGTTACGGGTGTGTTGCATGTCGTCCCTTCGGCGGTGGGCGGAGCCTAGGTCTTGGAGAGGAACTGGGTCCTGAAGCATCCGGCCTCGAGAACAGCAGTGGTGAGACTTTCGGTGATAATTCATCTGTCTCTTCCATCTTTTAGCACGTAGATTAGTTCTGCTCACCCAGCTAGTGGTGTAGTTGGGTAGGTGGGGACCTGATGAGTGCACGCTGCAGGAGTCGCATGGTTATTGAATCCAGATTCGAATCTTCATTTGAGCTGGTTTTTAATCTGTCCATTTATCTCTAGGTCTGTCAGCTACCCGCTATGCCGCTGCCTGTTGCACTGCAGACCCGCCTGGCCAAGAGAGGCATCCTCAAACATCTGGAGCCTGGTGAGAAAATTAAGAGCAGATGGGACTACCATGTGCCATTTAGACAGGCACTTTGTTGATACTGACAGTTGCTACCTTGCATGGCCTGGCAGGCATTTCCTAGCTATTCCTACTGCGTGGTAAACACTGTGTATGGATAGTGGTTGAAGGATAGATATTTCATCCTTAGTAATTCTGATACCCGATGCTGAGTTCAATTCATGAATCAAGCTGAGCATGGTGGCGTGCATTTGTAGTACAAGCTACTTGGGAGACTGAGGTTAGAGGATCTCTTGAGCTTAGGAGTTCAAGGCCAATTTGGGCAGCATAGTGAGATCCAGTGTCAAAAAATCATTAAATAAAATAAATCCATGATTCAATCCATAGCGGTGACTACAGGGTACTTAATAGAAATGACAGCTGACATCTCCTGCAGTCTTCTGTGTGGCAAGTACAGTGGCAAGGTATTGAGGCTTTGTTTTGTTTTGTCTTTTCTTTTTTGGTGCTGGGGATCAAACTGAGGCTTTGTTGGTTACCACATATAGCATGTGTTTCAGAGATTTTGTGGTTGTGGACACAATAATGGTGATAGATAACTTATTTAGTTCACCATATCAATGACATATATTTGGGCTTCCTAAATGCCTGGTATACATATTATGGTTAACAGCATAAAATGATAGTAGTTGGCTGGGTGTGGTGGCACATGCTTTTCTGATCCCAGCTACCTGCGAGGTGTAGGTGGAAGGTGTAGGTAGGAGGCCTGCCCTGGCCAAAAAGCACAAAACCCTATCTGAAAAATAACTAAAGCAAAAAAGAGCTGAGAGTGTGGCTACAAGTGGTAGATTACCTGCCTAACAAGCTCAAGACCCTGAGTTCAAACCCTAGAACTGCCCAAAATACATAAGTAAATAAATAAAAGGACAGTGGTGATCTATCATTTAAGCCTACTGCCTACTGTATTGCTGGCTGCTAATTATACCATATTGCTAATAATACTAAAAGCTGGCATCTGTTTTAGACTATAGTGTGCCAGACACTGGAAAAGGTGTAATTTCCTTATTGATAACTGACATCTATTACAAGACAGCTGTGTGCCATCTTTTTTTTTTTTGCATACATACCCGGATGTATGCCGTCTTGTAATAAGATCTAAGGCATACAGATCTAAGGCATAATGATACTAATGATGATCATTGGTATGGGGGGTGCAGTGCTAGGGATTGAATCCTCAGTCTCACTCATGTTAGATGTGCTGTGCCACTAAGCTACACCCCCAACCCCCATACCATTGATATTTTTTAAGTCTATTGAGAGTACCAGGGCTAATGCTAATTAATATATATCTTATTAGTAATATTGATAATTATACTTGACATCTCTTTCAGGCCTACTGTGTGACAGGCACTGTGCTGTTGCTGGCATATATATTTCATTGTTAATTATATCCACAGCTGACATCTGTTATAGGTCTACTGAGGACCAGGAACTGAGCTGAGCTAATAGACACCATTTTATATGTATGTGTATTTTTTTTTGTGGGACTGGGGTTTGAACTCAGGGCTTCATGCTTGCAAAGTAGGAGCTCTACTGCTTGAACCACACCTCCAGTTTCTGCTCTGGTTATTTTTGAGATGGAGGTCTCTTGAACTATTTTCCCAGACTGGCCTTGAACCGTGGTCTTCCCGATCTCAGCTTCCCAAGTAGCTAGGATTATAGGAGTGAGCCACTGGCATTCAGCTTATTCTGCTGTTATTAACAGACATCTTTGCAGGCTTACTTTATGTCAGGCCTCAGGAACTGAGTGGATTCAGAGCAATGTTTGGATAAATCCCTTGCTATTCCAACTCCTGTTACTCAAAATACAGGACTCAGAAATTGTAAATTACCAAGTTTGGAAGCTGAGTAGATTGGAAATTATTTGCAGATAAACCCCTTGCTGTTCACTTATTTCATCTAAATAGGTTTAGATAACACAGTGCCACCTACTGTCTGGACTCAGGATCTGAATAAATGTGGATATTTTTTTTGGTGGTCCTGGGGTTTGAACTTAAGGCCTCATGCTTGCCAGGCAAGCAGGTGCTCTACTATTTGAGCCATGCCCCCAGCCTGTTACAGATACATTTTTTTTGATGAATCCCTATCAATTCTGAAACCAGATAGGTTTGGATAACAGCATAAATTAATCACTGGAACCCAGAAATAAAGGACTTACTTAGGTAAATTTTGTGGTAAACCCCCTAAAACAGATGTATTTGGAATATGAGAAATACTTCATTTCCTGGCAAACATACGTACACACTTGTGTCTTCTATAGATGTGAGTTGTTGTGTCTTTCCAGGCCCTGACTGTAACATGAGAACTCCCTTGATCCTTAACTGCTCTCCCCCTCCTCCTCTTCCTTGTTCTGCCAGAACCCGAGGAAGAGATCATTGCTGAGGACTATGATGATGATCCTGTGGACTATGAGGCCACCCGGTTGGAGGGCCTGCCACCAAGCTGGTACAAAGTGTTTGACCCTTCCTGGTGAGCCTGGGGACCTAAGTGGGTGGTGGTAGCTGGCTTCAGACTTTGCTCTTCCTGTGTTGCCCCTGACTGTGGGGTACATAACGGACATAGGGAAGAGATAGGGGGATCCAGACATGGGGCAGGTATAGGCAGGGATTGGGAAAATAAGAGTTGATACAGTGAGAGGGTATCTGTTCTAACACTCTTCCCTTCCCATTGCCTTACAGTGGGCTCCCTTACTACTGGAATGTGGACACAGACCTTGTGTCCTGGCTCTCCCCCCATGACCCCAACTCCATTGTTACCAAATCTGCCAAGAAGCTCAGGAACAACAGTGCAGGTGAGTTGGCAGGTGCAAGGGTATCTGGGGTGACCCTAGCCGTTCTCAGAGAGGGGCCACGAAAATTACACCGGATGAGGAAGGGGCAGGTGAGGCTGGGCAGGCCCAACCCCAGGCTTTTGAGTTTGTTGAAGGCAGGGGATGCTGGGTATTTGGTGGGAGGAGGTCACTTCAGGACTTCTGTGTCCCTGTAGATGCTGAGGAAAAGTTGGACCGAAGTCATGAGAAGTCTGACAGGGGCCATGAGAAGTCAGACCGTGGTCATGAGAAGCCAGACAGGGGCCACGAGAAGTCAGACCGGAATCACGACAAGTCTGACAGAGATCGAGAGCGTGGCTATGACAAAGTAGACAGAGAGAGAGAGCGGGACAGGGAACGGGATCGGGACCGTGGGTATGACAAGGCAGACCGGGAAGAGGGCAAAGAACGTCGCCACCATCGCCGGGAAGAACTGGCTCCGTACCCCAAGAGCAAGAAGGGTAAGCAGAGCAGGCTGGGACTTGGGTGAAACAAGTGAGGTGCCAGGGTATATAAGGAAGTCCCCTCTCAGGTGTGTGCCTGGACCTGGGCTCTGGAAAAGGGGTGCTGTGGTTCATGGCAGCCACAGGTTCCTTTTCTTCCAGGGATGAGGGGGGTCAATGATCAGGGGCTTCTTGTGCCTTGAGTAAAAAATTTGACCTGTCACTTACTTCCACAGTAGTGAGCCGAAAGGATGAAGAGTTAGACCCCATGGACCCGAGCTCATACTCAGACGCGCCCCGGTAAGTGAAAACCCCTTGTGAGCCTTTCTGTTTCCTCATGAATCTCACTCTACCTGTGAACACCATCCTTCTCCTCACCATCTCCTCCCCCCATTCTTGTGTTGGCCAGTCGGGGGTGCCCACCACACTCCCCTTCCCACCCTGACCCTCTGTCACCTCCAGGGGCACATGGTCAACAGGACTCCCCAAGCGGAATGAGGCCAAGACAGGCGCTGACACGACAGCAGCTGGGCCCCTCTTCCAACAGCGTCCATACCCATCCCCAGGCGCTGTGCTCCGGGCAAACGCTGAGGCCTCTCGAACCAAACAGCAGGATTGAACCTTTGCTCTCCGCAGCCCTGATAGTTTTTTTTTCTTTCTTTCTTTTCTTTTCTCTCTTTCTCTTTTTTTGTGTGGTACTGGGGATAGAACCCAGGGCTTTGCACATGCTAAGCAAGCGCTCTTACTACTGAGCTATACTCCTAGTCACCCCCCTTGGTGTTTCCAATAAAAGCTTTTTTGTGGATCAGGTCCATGAGACTTGAGTGCTTCCTTTCCTCACTCTTTTCAAGCTTCCCAACCCAAGCTGGCAAGATGCAAAACATTTTATTTGCAGAATAAGAAATACTGTAAGGGTAGCAGGAGCTGAGGTGGGTCATTAACAAAGAGCTTAGTCATGTCAGCTCTGCAGGGGGCAGGGGTAGCATGGAGAGGGGGTTCCATGTCTACCTCACCCTACCCCTAATACTGATCAAGTTTGGTCCCAGCTGGGCCAGGGCAAGGAGAGAGAACAGGGCCAGGCCAACGTCTTCAATCCCGGCGGCTACGAACCCTTCACCTTGGTGAGCAACCTGTGGTGGGAATGGGGAGGAAAGAGAAACACAGAAAGCTGGGGTGGGCTGGAAGGTGGGTTTCCTGAGCAAGTGAGGGTTGTGGTAGTAAGGCTGGTAGTCCTGGGGTTAGTAACTGTGCTTATGTGGAGATCATGGGGCCCCTGGGTCAGAAAGCTACACATGGACTAAATAAATACAACATCTTTATTTGGCATTGGGTATCCTGACATTTGTTCATTACAGTTCTTTATAAAACAAACCAAAAAATCAGAACAAATTAATCAAAAATAAAGATCCAATGGCCCTATTTACATATAGCAAAGACAGCCCAGGCACTTTCCTTACACGCACAAATGCACACACACGCTCACACATACATATACACACACCCTGGGATACAGTTAAGGAATTAATAAGCTTTGGGGAGTGCAGGGAGCAGGCTCCATGGTTTAACCTGAGACAACCCCCTATGAAGTGAGGGTGCCTCATAAAGTCAACGGGGTAGCAAGAGTGGGACTGGCAGCTTTATTTTTTCCCTTCGGATGTCTCAGAAAATAACCCTGTATCTGGCAACTGCCAGTGTCTTCAATTCAGTGAGATTCAGCCATTTTGAGGACCTCCCCTTCCCATTTTTCCCACACTCTGGATCATTAATGATCTGGTTACACCATGAGCCTCTAAACCACTAAAAAATGAACACCCCTACTGCACCCTCCCTCCAGAAGGGATGCTGCTGAACTCTCAGCAGGTGTTTCTTCCTTGCCCTGGGCACTTGCAATAGACCTGTCTTCAAGGGTCTCCGGGCCACAAGAGAGACACCAAGCTGCTAACATGATCCAGAGTGGTGGTCAGGGAGGACAGAAGTCCTCAAACGGGCAACTGAATCCCACAGGTAGGCCTTAGTCATTACTGAAGAGCTGCAGGACTTCAGTCTGTCCTTACAGAAGTGGAGGAATGGCTGGGATGGACTGCCCCAGATGTGAGAGGATACCTCCCAGCAAAGGGCAGTGGGCAGACAAAAAAGCCTTGAATGCAATACCCCCAACCCTGTCTCTGAAGAGGTTGGACTAGGGCAAAGGAAGAGGCTCTAAAACCCCCCTCCAGGGGAGGGGAGTCACTCAGTATATCAGGAAGGGTTCATGTGACATCCAGCCCCAGTCCCATGCCCCTCCAGAAGTAATGACCTGGGAGAAAAAACTGTCTTCCAACCCCAGAGGAGCCAGGACCTGGTTACAACTTGGGTCCTGCAGATGCCCAACACCTTTCACCCCAGTCCCCTTCCCTGTTTCCCCCAACCGCTACCAGCCCTCATTTCACCAGCACTGACTTTGGCAGAAAGGGCTCCGTGATGAGGTCCCCACGGTGGGAAGACAGCTGCGGTGGTGGTGGTTGCCCTGGAGGCTGCTGGTGAATACAGGGTCCAGAGGCAGAGGCGGAGGAAGAAGCAGAAGCTATGGCTTTGACTGCACCTCGGGGAAGGCTGTAGAGGTAGACGGCACCAATGACGAGCCCAGCGCCAAGGGCAAATAATGGGTCCAGGTGGAAGCCAAAGAGGCGAATGGAGGCAACAGTGGACAGCACAATGGACAGGGAGGTGGCAAAGCCCTTAAGGATGTTGTCAGCGTACTTGACAACAACAGCCACCAGCAGCCCACCAAAGGCCTGGTTTAGTACCACGCCCCAGACGGCAGGAGTGTACCCAAAGAAGAAACCGCGGTGGGCCACGGCGGTGCCCTCAGCCCACCAGAGCCCCACCAGGCCCAGTGCTGTGCCAAAGAGGCCCAGCTGCAGGTTGCGCAGCCACACAGAACCTGAGCTGCCTTTGAGGATCTTCTCAAAATAGACACCTGCGAAGCCTGATGAGAGACAGGAGGCCACGACAGCTGCTAGGCCTGCCCCAGGGTTCTGATCCAGTGGCCGTGGGCCACCCCCACCAGCTTGCTGTGCCTGGACAATGGCGACACCAGTGAAGAGGAGTAGCAGGGAGGCCCACTGCAGCCGTGAGAGGCTGCGGTTGAGCATGAGCACGGAGAACAGTGCTGTAGTCAGGATCTTCAGCTGATAAGTGACCTGCAAGCAGCATATGGAAGGCACTGAGTGCTGATCTTGACCCCCAACATGCACACAGGGGACGGCATCCACTGTGGGCTTCCAGCCACAATGAAAAGTATACGGTGGGGTACGTGACAACAAAACCAGAGAGTACACAGAAAGGTAGCTGTGTCAGGAAGTCCCAGGCCACACCCAACTCCACATCCCAATCCAGCTTCCTGGCTGTGTTACCAGGGACAAAGTACTTGTGCTATCTGGGCCTTGGCCTCATCTCTATAAAATAAGGCTGAGGTATATAAAACACCTCACAGTAGGTGATGACTAAATGGTGGGCTTTGTGATGAGGGAGGGCTTGATACAAATGAATCAACCATAAAACAATAAAGCTGACAAATATTTACATATAACTATGTGCCAGGTGTGGATTTCAGTACTATATGGGAATTAGTTCATTTAATCCTCAAAACTAACATAGGAGTGGGCACCACTGTAATCCCCAATTTAAAAAGGAGTAAACCAGACATGGTGGCGCACACCTGTAATCCCATCACTTTGGAGGCCGAGGCAGGAGGAAAATAAGCATTTCCGGGCCAGCCTGGAATCCAGCTACATAGTGAGACCCTATCCGAAAACCAAACAAACCATAAAAAAAAAAAAAAAAGGAAGAAGAGCAAAACTAAGGCACAGAGAGGTGGTTAGGCGACTTGCCCAAAAATCACACAGCTGAAAAGTAGCAGAGCAGACATTTGAATCCAAGCAACCTGGCCCCAGCATCTAGGCTCTTTTAACATCGTACAAAATTTCCCACAAATAGCCTTAAGTTTATTTATATATATTTTTTGGTAGTACAGCTACATCCCCAGTGAGTCCTAATTCTTTTTTTTTTTGCTTTTCTGAGACAAGGTCTTGCTATATAGCTTCGGCTGACCTCAAACTCTTGATCCTCCTGCCTCAGCCTCCTGGTATTACAGACATGCGCCACCACACCCAGTTCCAGGTATTTCTTTCAATCAACCTAGCATTCCCTTTAGCAGATATCATTATTTCTAGCCCTCATTCTCACACATGCAGGAACTGAGGTCAAGGGAGTTCTAAGAACATTCTGAAAGTGACACAGCTCCTGCTTTTTGCAGCCTGCCTTCCTCCCCACACGATATCCTCCAAGCAGCCAGTTTCCCTGGGGCCATGCTTGGTTTGGGGCTCACCTGGAAAGTGGCAGCTGGGAGGTTGGAGATGGCCACGTACTGGAGGTTATTCTGCAAGGTATAGATGAGAGAGGGCACTGCGAGCTTGAGTGTGTCCACGTACTGTACCAGGACGGCCTCGTGGAGGAAGAGAACCAGGTGTTTCACGTTACCTAGGTGGGAGGAAGACAGCCCTTTCAGCATGGACAACTAAAGCGACTGGGACCAGGCCCGGTTCCTGCATCCACCTCCATGCCCTACACCTACCCTTACTCCCTCAGGCTCCCTGGGGGCTGGAATGAGGTCTGTCCTTGTGTGTATTTTTTTGGCAGTACTAGAGTCTGAACTCAGGGCCTTGCATTTAGCAGGCAGCTGCTCTACTTACTTGAGCCCTTTTTCACTTTCATTATTTTTCAAATAGTCTCACTTTCATGCCCAGGCCAGCCTGGACTGCAAACCTCTTTTTTATGCTTCCTGTGTAGCTGGGATAACAGGTACATGCTACTGTGCCCAGCTTTTTATTGGCTGAGATAGAGTCTTGCAGACTTTTTGCCAGACTGGCTTTGAACCACAATCCTCCTCCTCTCTGCCTCCCGAGTAGCTAGGATTGTAAGCGTGAGCCACCACACCAGGCTTGTCCTTTTTTATTTTTATTTTGTGGTGCTGGGGATGGAGCACAGGGCCTTGTGCATATTAAGCATTGCACTCTATACCTTCAGCCATTGTGCTCAGTTTCCCCTACAGTACAACCATGTCCACAAGAAGCCTTTCGGATACTCAGTTTAATGGGGTGCTTGCCCAGCAGTTATGTGAGGCCTCAGGTTCTATTTTCACCACTGTTAAGAAGAGAAATGGCCATAAGATAATCATCCATAACACTGTGTCTTCTAATCATCAACTACATTTCACTTATCTAAGAGCCTATCTCCCTGGCATAGAGCTCAATTCAGGGCAAGCACTCAACACATTTGTACAATGAAATAATTAATCATCATTAACTAGGAGCTTATGAAGTACAAAGCCTTCAGCTTGGGTAGAAGGCCATCTCATGAACAGAGGGGAAGTTTTAGACTTTTTGGTGCTGGGGATTGAACCCAGGACCCTCAAATATGCTAAGCGTGTGCTCTACCACTGACCTACAGCCCCTTTTTAGGCTGGTGGAATGGCTGGGGTTTGAACTCAGGGCCTATTCTTTGAGCCACTACACTAGTCCTTTTCTGTGAAGCATTTTTTTGAGATAGGGTCTCACAAACTATTTGCATAGGCTGGCTTTGAACTGCAATCCTTATGATCACTGCCTCCTGAGTAGCTAAGATTTACATGCATGAGCCACCAGAAGCTGGCCTATTTTTTTTTTTTAAATCTGGTGGTACTGATGATTGAACTCAGGGCCTTGAACTTGCTAGGTGGGCACTCTACCACTTGAGCCACTCCACTAGTCCTCAGTTCATCTTTTAA